CCACCACCACCACCATCACCATCACCATTCCCATCACCAAAAGAAATCCAACCGTCGCAAATTTTAAATAAATAAAACCAACAAATTTTTAATTTTAAATAATAATAATAAGGTTATCTTTTGTTACGATTCGGATAAAAACAAAATGTCGGCAATCAAATAATAATAATAATAATAATAATAACGTAATCAATATGTCGCGGATATTTATTTAAATTTTGGTTAATCGAATGAAGTGAAAAATTTTTTTTACAAAAGAAATCAAAGATGTACGATTGTTAAAGAAGAAGAAGAAGTTATGGGTGTTACCAAAGATGACATTAATCATCATCCTCTTCCTCTTCTTCTTCTTTTAGCCCTGAGGGTTATTTCTTTCATTTTAAATTAATGGCCGTCTTAAAACTTTGATTTTTTTCTTGTCTCATTTCATATCAATTGTAAATATCTTTTTTTTTTTTTTTTTTGCAAATTTTATTATCATCATCATCACGATGTTGAATGAATGAATGAATGAATGAATGAATTGTTTTCGTTATTACTTTCTTTTAAAAAAAAAATAACTTTCAATAATTTTTTACGCACTTCATTCTTTTTTTTTTTTGTAAATATTCGAGAGTAATTTACAATGTGATTAGTTTTTTTTTCCTACTAAATTCATTCACCTTTTGCCAATATTTATTCATTTTAACAACAACAACAACAATATAAATAAAACAAACGCGAACAACAAACAAACAAACAAAATATTTATATAATTTTTCATTATAAATTATTATATTATAATGAAATATATTTAACAAATAAACCAAAACGAATGAGAGACAATAATTACTCTTTGGCAGGAAAACAAAAAAAAAAAAAATCAAACCGACCATAACTAAAATTATATAGAAAATAAACAGTTTAGTAAAAACTAAAAAAACTAAAAAACTAAATTTTAAATATTTCGAAAGCCAAATAACAAAAATTTTATAAATTTTGCTGTTGTTGTTGTTGTTGTTGTGGTTATTGAACCGATTTTGTTATTACAAAACAAACAAAATATTTTCTTTGATGTAAAAAGAATATTATTATTATTATTATCACGGTTGATTAAATTTTCTTTTTAATAATTTTATTAATATATATTATTATTATTATTACGAATCGTAATAATTTTTTCGCGTTTTATTATTAGAATTTAAATTTTTTCAAAATATGATTCACGATTTATATTTATATTTTACTTATTTATTTATTATTTGGGATGGTGACGCACGTGTACGCGCACGCGTACACGCACACGCACGTTTCGCGTTAAGTTAAAAATAAAAAAATGAAACAAAAAAAAATTTTTTTTTACTACGATAATAAGTTAATAACAAAAATAATACGCTAATAATAAATAAATAAATACCCTTTTTCCTGGTTTTATTATTATTATTCTTCTTCCTCTTCCTCTTCCTCCTCCTCTTCGTTGTCATCTTCTTCTTCTTCTTCTTCCTCTTCTTCGAAACCACCTTCTTCGTCGGACACTCTTTTCGGTTCGTGAGCACGTCTCCATTCTTCTTCTTCTTGAGGTGTCGGATCCGCCATTTCCATTATTTCCGGACCCAGAGGATATTCTTCTTGGATTTCTCGATACGGTTCGGGAGTGTGATTTCTCGCTGTGAATTTTTGACCGTCTCCGATGTAAACGTTACCATATTTTCTAAAAAAAAAAAATTTTTTTTTTACTATCAAAATCAAATTCGATCCGTAATAAAAAATTTTATTGATGTTTTATACTTCTCGGTAGCGAAGGCATAAGCTCCAGGCCATAAATTCGAACGTACGACCGCAATCGAATGTTCTGGAAACAAACCGGATGTTTTTCTTGCGCTCCATGGATTTATCGAATCCAAAACTGAATCCTCTGACAATGGAGTCAACAATTCCGGTCCTGTTTCTTTTTCCACAATTTCTTCTTCTTCATCTTCGGCTTCTTCTTCTTCTCCTTCTTCTCCCTGAGAATCCATCAAACATTTTTATTACCATTAACGTTTAAAAAATTATTTTTAATAAAAAAAAAAAAGTAAAATTTTTCAACATCACCTCTCCTTTACCCGACGGATTCCACCATGTTGTTCTTCCTTGTGGCAATATATAATCCGTGTGATGTACCCAAAAAGACATGCTCGGATCAATCAAGTCTCTTATGGCGACGGGTTCGTAATCGGGATTTTTCGCATAATTTGTTTTACCTTCTGATAAAACAAAAGGAAGAGATAACAACGTTGCAAACGTTTTCATTTCATTCAATAAATTTTTTACCCTCTATTTCCACTTCTGCCTCTTCTTCATCCTCTTCGTTAAATGTGTAATAACCCAGAGGTGAAATTTGTGTTGCAGCGGATATCCTAGCAATTTGAGCCCTTAATAAATTTTTCTCTTTTCCGGGAAACGATGGAAACGTGTTAACCTTAAAACAAAAAAAAATTTTTCAAAACTCTTTCGATCGAGACAAAAAAAAATTAAGAAACGTTTTTAAATCGATTAAAATCAAACACCTCAGATTCCAGGTCTCCTGTAAAAGCTCTTTTGATTTTCCTGGAAACAACAATTTGTTGAGGAGTGGCATCTGGAAGTTTTACCCATTCTTCATTAATGCCATTGCAAACATAAAAAACCTAAATTAAAAAACAAAAAAAGAGATGAAAGTAGATAAATTGACAAGAAAATCTTCTTTTTCAAACCTTCATTCTTAAATCACCTTTTTATTAACTCCAGTTCCCGGTGGTTCAACTGGAATCTCTATTATTTTTGGAGGGGTCGATCTTGGTAGGGGAGGAAGAGGAGCCCACGGTTCTAATTCAACCCTTTCCGGCATTTCTTTAAGACCTTTTTCTTGTGCTGCTTTTATCAATTCCGCGTATTTTGCATCGGTTCTTTTCGCCGCGTATTGTTTTTCCATTTCTCTCGCTTCTTCCATTTCAGCTTCTTCTTTTAATTTTAACTCTTCCAACTTGGCAGTTTCCCTTTCTAATTTTTCCAATTTTTCTTTTTCTTCTTGTACTTCGTGTTCCTGATTAAATAAAAAACGACATCCGGTTAATTAATTATATTAAATATTTATAAAAATTCTATTTGACCTCTCAACTTCATTTGGGTTTTAACAGTAAATTAATTATAATAATTTTTTTTTTTTTAATTCAATAACATACCGCATTCATTCTTAATATTTCTTCCTCACTAACTTCAGTTTCTGCGATATAATAATTTTTCTTCGTACCAAGTATTTTACCCCAAAATCTAACAATTAAAAACCAAGAGTAATCAATAGTAATTTACCCTTTATTTATAATTTCTTATCGAAGGATTTAATCATGACAAAAATAAATAAATAAATATTGATAAGTGATTTTGTTAAAAGAGTCGAAAAAAAAAAAACATTTCAACATTTTTGAAAAAATTTTTAATTACCTATACTTTTCAATCGGTTGACTTGCCATTAATTTTTTAAGATGAATTCCTATGCAGAAAATTTCTTCTCTCGATAATGATATTCCACCTTGTTCAAAATAGTAAAACATTTCTTTTAAATTTTGTGAAGCTTTCTCTTCTTCTTCGCCTTCTTCTGTTGCCATCTCTGATGCCACATTGATTGCCACTGATTGCTAATCATTGAATAGAGTTCAAAGCATTTTTTTTTTAAAAGATTAATATAATTATTGATAACAATGATTAACAATGTGAAAACAATACTTACAAATAATTGCATTAATTTTTGACAATATTCATAATAATTGGGTGGAACATAAACATCTAGAAGATGATCAGTTTTCGATTTAAATCTCTCTTCTCTCACTCGATAACTAAATTCTTCGAATGTACAACCAATGTTCTTTGGTCTTTCGATTAAAATTTTTTTCAAAACTTCATTTAAATGATCCCACCTAATAGAAAATTATAAATAATAATAATAATTTTTGATCTTGAACATTTTCACAATATCATTATAATTATTTTGCTGATGTGTTAGCTTGATAATTATATGAAATAAATGCTGACAAGTTTTGAAAAATTTTTAATTTTTTTTTTTGTAAATCATAACGATTTATTCCAACGACTTACAAATTGTCCCCGTTGTTCATACATTGCCTCATTAAAAAGGCTTTTGCACGGCTATAATCATTTTCAACACAAGGTAAATTTTCTTCACCGGGTAAACAAGGGAATTTTTTAACAAATGGCGTTTCAAAATCTGTACCCGTCATTGAATCAGTTTTTGTTTCGTCACCACCAGAAAGTTCATCTCCGCAAATATTCGGACTTTTATCCATATTTATATGATTGAGTAATAATAACGAAAAAAAAAAAGAAAAGGAAAATGATTTTAAAAAAACACTTTTATCCTCTTCTTAGAAAACAATTTATAAAAATCAAATTTAAAACACTAAAAAAAAAAAAAATGTTGACAAAATTTCAGTTAATAATTATCATTTTCAAACTTCAATTTATAAACTTGAAAGTTTTTTTTTTTTTTTTTTAAATTGATAAAGTTTATGATACGATTTTCATTATTAATAATGTATAACTATACATTAATTTTATCACTAAAATACACTAATACTTATTTTAAAATACATTATTTTCAATAAAACAAATAATAAGTAAAGTAAATAAAACTTTTAATAAGTATATATATATATATATAAACGAAAATAATAAATTCACAATTGCCAATCTTTGAAAAAAAAAAAAATGTCTACCGTCTGTTAACAATGTTAAATATACATTTAAAACAATACGTTAAAAATTTTGATTAAAATTAGTTTTAAATTATTAATTTTTTTTAGTTATGCAAAAAAAATAGGTAAAAATTAAAAAAGATTTTTTGATACTGTTGACATTTTTTAAAATCATTTTTTTTTTTTAAATTTTGCCCCCAGACTTTTACCCTAACCTCATTTTATTAACAACAAAAATGTCACAAAATTTCATTTAATCACCAAAATTTTTAAATTTATAATTACATTAAGCGATTGGTGAAACTTTGTTGAACATAATATTCGTTTTAGGTTTTACACTCTCGTAAATTTTTTATTTATCATTTAAGAAATTGTTTAAAAATGGATGTTATGGAAATGAGAAACATACATTGCGAATTAGATCCCCTATCTAGGCCAGACGGATCTGCATTGTTTGCTTTGGGTAAGATTTTGATTTACGAATCATTAAACAAATAAAAAGACAAAATGTCAGTTAGTTTTTATCGAATCATTTCTTTTTTTTTTTTTTTTTTTTTTTCTAGGCGATACCATGACACTTTCTGCTGTATATGGCCCTGCTGAAGTTAGACCTCAAAAATTGCTCACTGAAAATGCTACAGTCGAAGTTTTGTTTAAATCTAAAAATGGTGTACCCAGTAAGATTTTTAAGCACTAACAAAAACCAACCAACTTCTTTAATTTAATTTAAAATTAATGATTTTTTTATTATTCAGGTATTTCAGATAAAATAAAAGAAGTATCATTAAATAATATTTGTAAAACTGCAATTTTATCCTCTCAGCATCCCAGAACGAGTATTTCTATTATCGTACAGGAAATGCAAGATTATGGTGGAGTAAGTTAATAATACTTATAATTAATTAAAAATGATGTTGTCATAGACAGGAAAGCATCGAGTATTTATTAAATAGTAAAAAAAAAAAGTACCTCTTTGAATTATATTTTATTAAGTCGCTGAAAATAAAAATATAATCAAGTTAAAATTACTTACAGATTGTTTTCTTTTTCCAGTTGCTTGCATGTTCTGTAAATTCTGCTTGTTTAGCTTTACTAAATGCTGGAATTCCATTAAAATATGTATTTGCAGCTGTTAGTTGCATGATAAATAAAAAAGATGAAATAATTTTAGATCCAGATTTAAAACAATTACAGGTAAATTAACAAAAAAAAATTAAGAAATAATTATTATTCAGGTTGTTTACATTAATATTTATTTTTTTTGTAGGATAGTAAAGCAAATTTTACCTTAGTTTTCGATGGCGTCGATAAAAATTTAATAGCTTGCAAAACTTCTGGAATTTATACTAAAAATAAATTCACTGAAGTTATCAACACATGTAAAGAAGCCAGTTTGAAAATATTTCAATTTTATTTAAGTGTTATTAAAAAGTCTATGACAATTTAAATAAATCATTATAATTTTATATTATTATTTTTTTCCTGTAAAAACTTTCCTATTTTATCCTTCAAGTAAAATTCGCAAGTTTCATTTTTGCATTGTGAGATCCAATCGGGAAAATTTATCTGTGGAAAATATGGAATGATATTAATTTTAATTTAATTTTGTTACAACAAAAAGTTAATACATACACATAATGGTGAATATCCAAGAAGTTTTAAGCAATTTTCAATCGTATTAAAACTGTAATTTGTCGTTTGTTCATCGTTTAAATAAGAAATTTTTTTTAAATAAATTGATAACCATATTTTATCATCGTGAATGGGAGTTGGAAATTCAATTGATTTTATTTTATTATATTCTTCTGGTATATTTTGTACAATTAAATTTTTATCAAATCTCATTATAATAATTGGTACGATTAAAATTGTATTTCGTATCCAACACACTGCATCATTTCCATAAATATTTTGAAGTGTGATTTGTAATTTAAACATGTATTTTAATATATCTGCTGTATGGTCATGTTTTTTGTATATCATATTTTTAACATACTTGAAAAAAAAAAAAAAAAAAATTGTCATGAATGAAAAGTGATTATTTAAATAATAAATTTACTTACATTCATTGCTTTATTGTTATTTAAAACTTCCAAACCCTCTTTACTGTAATTAGGATTAATTAGTCTCATATAAAAATCAATAAATTTGGCTTGAACCAACAAGTCCTTCATTTTATCTGAAAAAAAAAAAAAAAAAAGAAAAAAAAATCATTAACAATAGAATTTAATTGTGAGATTTTTATTTAAACACTTACAGGTGATCAAATAATTAATATTATTTTCTGTATAAATTTTTTTTATTAACGATTCATCAATTATTCCAAAATGTAATAAATTGGTAACAAAAGGTATGATAAATTTACTTTCATGATAATTTACATTAGAATATTTTGAGATGGCAAGATTTAAAAATTCTTCATCTTTAATTCCAAATTTAACGAGCAAATTCATTAATCTGAAAAATAAATTGACTACATTTGAAATTAAATTAAAATTTAATCGAATCATTCGAAATCGATTTAAAAAAAATATACTTTATTATATTGTTGAATGATATATTTTCAAAATTATTTTTAAATTTTTCTAAAACTTTTTCAATTAGTATTTTATTGCATTTATTAAATTTGTTTCCAGCATAAAGAACTTCAATCAAACAACTTTCGTCAAATTTTTCAACATGAGGTATCATATTATTTTGAAATATCGAATAAGTTGTCAGAACTGCTTTTGTGGCATTCGATTGTAATACCTAAAAAAAAAAAATTAAAATTAATTTTTATTATACTTGAATAAATTAAATTGTTAAAAAACATTTTATTCGTTTTAAAAAAAGAAAAAATATTTAACGAATAGCTTACCATGGAAAAAGCTTTTATAATTTCAGGTTTAACATCATTAATTTCAGACATGATTTTCTCATTGATATTTAACAATAATTCAACATTTGAAGGTGCAATATTAATTTTACTTAAAGAAAATGAAATTATTCCCACTTCATTTACATTCATATATTTTATTCGATTTTTTAAATCATCTTGAATGCCGAATCTCATTAATTTGGGCACTTCTTTAAATTTCGAAAGTAAGAACAGTAAATGGACAACCTAAAAGAAAGAAAAATTATTATTAAAAAACTATAAATAATAATAACTGTAATTTAAAAATTATGGTCTCCTTACTTGTTTTTCATTCAAATTAGTAATTTTGTAACAGCTTTTGTGTAAAAAATACCAAACAAAACTAAACTTTTTAAAATCTTTAATCGGATTTATTGTATCGACAACTTTTAATTTTTCATCGAATGTCAATATGTTTTTTCTCGATATGCATTCATTATCTAACATTACAACAACCTCTCCAAAAAAATTTTTTTTTTTATTATCCATATTATGAGATGCTAAGTACAAACCTTGTAACAATTCTTTAAATGATAATCGTTTTAAATTTTCATTTAAATAATTTTTAAAATTATTTTCTTTATATGTGTCACCGGGTTTTTCAACTAATACCGTTAACTGATTAATAAATTCACTATTATTTATTTCTTTTAAATTTTTTGAAGGTATAAAAACTGATGGGTAAATATGTGAATTTTCATCAAGGTATTGACGAAAATAAAAAGCCCTTGATTCTTTAGAAATTAAACAATTTTCTTTCTTATTATTATTATTAAATAATTTTTCTACTAATTTTTTTTTAAATTTATTAAACGTTTCGATTGAATAAAATGATAATATTCTATTATTATTACATTTTATATGACGCCTGAGTGAAATTTGTAAACCGTTACTTTTAATACAATAACTATTTCTAATCGAAAAAATTTTAAAAGTTTTTATAAAATTCATTTTATAAAATTTTAAATTTCAATCAATTATTCTTTTAACGATCAAAATATTCCACTTAAAACGTAATAAATTTTACATTAATTAATAATAATAACAACACATAATAAAATTTTAAAAAATAAAAAATTCAGTTAACAATTAATTAAACACTTCTTAAATTTTTTATTCTTGTACGTTTCAACGTCTACCATACAATGCAATACAATCGAAATCCGAATCGAAATATCGAATCGATTAATTTCGATATTTACGTATTTCCGGAAACCGCCATTTTTTACTTACATCGCATTCTACATTGAATCTATATAGAAATATAATTAAAAAACGATTATTTTATATTTAAATAATTAACCGATCGGGAAAAACATTAAATAAATAAATAAAAATGGAAAAAAATCAAAGTTAAACGTATATTTAATAACAATTCATATAGTTTTTTTTTTTTTTTTTTTGTAATTTTATAAAATACATCATGCTAACAAAATAAATTTTTTTTTTTTTAATAAGAAAAAAATTTATTATCAACAATCAAAAATTATACGTTTATTAATTATTTATTTTCTTAATTTTTTATTATTATTATTATTATTATTATTATTATTATTCGTTCAATATTGTTAATTAATAATAATATTAATAAAAACGATTAAATTTAATTAAATTAAACAAAATAATGATATTATACACATATAAATAAAAATTTTTTAAAAATGATTTGAAAATTATTTTAAATTTCACGATTTCGATTTTAAAAAGAAAAATAATAATAATAATAATAATAATAAATAGTTAAAAATTTCATTTGTTTTTACGATATTAATTATTGTTATTATTAAATATATATAAATAAAATTTGTGCAAGTTGTTAAAATAAAATAAAAAAAAATGGCGGAAAAATACATATTTATAAATATATATACTAAAAAAGAAATTAAATATAAACAAAATTATTAGCACCACATCAAAAAAACCATTTTTTTCCGTTTTTTTTTTTTACAAGTTTATTTATTGTTTAAATTACATAATTTAGATAAATAAACAATAAAAAATTAATTAATTAATTAATTACATTTAATGTTATTAATATATATATTTCATCATTATTAAATTATTTTTGTTTATAACAATTAAACGATATGAAATGATTCATTCATTTTTAAAATGTTAATAAAAAAAACGATTTTCTTTTTTTTTTATGTTTGATTAAAGCTTTCACGCAGTCAACTATATTTATTATTATTATTAATAAAAATATATTTATTTACATTTATTTAATTAATTAATTAATAAAAAAAAAATTAGAGCGATACGATTAAAAATTATTATTATTATATATATATACACATTTTATAAAAATAGTTTGTTTTTTTTATTTAATTTTAAATTTATTATTTCGTGTCAACAACAAATAAACAAACAAACAAACAAACGATTAATAATAATAATAATAATAATAATAATAATAAAATAATTTACACCTTTTTCGTTAATATAAATAATAATAATAATCAATCATAATTTTTTTTTATTATTATTAATTTGATAAACAAATTTTTTTTTTTTTTTGGGGGGGGGGGAAGGGAAAGAGGAAGGGGGGGAAATAGTTATTCTTTTTTGCATATACTTTTTTTTTTTCAGGCACAGTTATTTTAAATTTAGGCACTCATATATTAATATAGCCTTTAAAACGACCGTTACAAATTTTTATATATATATATATCTACATAAATATATTTTTTAAATATATATTATTTACAAATTATTATTATTATTATTATTATTATTATTAATATTTTGTGCTAAAGATTTTTCCCGATTAAAATCAAATCGTTATTAACAATAATAAAAAAAAAATATAAATAATTATCGTACGTTATAATAATGTGATGCGATGTGAAGGGCCCCGAAAAAAAAAATTTTTTTTTACAAATTTTTAATGATTAAATAGATTTAAAAAAAAAAAAAAAAAAAAAAAAATGATTATGTACTGGAAGACATGTTTTTTTTTTTTAAATACCGAGATATATGTGTTTAAAATTTGAATTTTGGGCCCTCGAGCATCGATATCTCGGACATGGATTCATTCACAATTAACCCTTAATCTTCAATGGTGGTGCACAAAAAAAAAAAATGGAGGTTATAATGGGAGGGTGGGGGGGGGGCAAATGTTGTTCAAACCCATCCGCCGGTCAATTTGTGAAAAAGTTCTTCGTTCAACGTTTGATTCGCTTCTTTCGATCTCATTGATAAAAATATGTAACCTCCTATGAACTCATGAATGACTTTACAATCCGCCGAAAGACAGCTAAATATAATATTACCTTCTTCGTGTTGAATCATCATGTGTTTAACTTCCCAATTCACGTTCCATGCCTATTTTACAATAAAAAAAAAAAAAAAAAGTTAGAATCATTCTGGTCGTAATGGATTCCACTCAAATCCATCTTTCTAATGCCACGATTTTTTTTTTTTTTTACACACAGTGACTTACAATCAGTGAATTATATCTCCACGTTTTCAAATGATCTCCATTCAAATCCATTCTCATTATCCTATTGAAAGCGACACCTAAAAGTTCTTCCTTTTTGTGACCCATAAAATTAATAACGAACAAAGATATTCCAAATTCTGGAAGGGATTGCCACGCTTTTATGTAACTCATTTTGGCATCCATTAAATTAAGATCTTTCACGTTCGCGTGAGCTTCCAAAATCCTTTGAATAAGCTGGAATGAAAATGTTGTTTTGGTGTCAATAAAGAGATCCAAAATGGATTTAAATAAAATATAAGCATCATATAATGCCGACGCAATACCTTTCCTTTGAACTTTTTCAAAAATCTCGGAGGGACGTAAGTTGACGGATCGATATCCAAAGCGGTTGGACTAATGGCGGGAGACGGAGCGCGATGTTGCATTTTTAAAAATGCTTCGATATTTTTAACTTCCGCTTCGTACGAACTATCCGCGAGTGATCGTCCTTTGGCTCCCAAACGACACGCTGCCATCCATTTGGCATATTGTTCTTCGCTGTCGCACCTGATCCACATTTCCGTCATTCCGTCGGGACTTGCAACTTCCAATTTGATTGCAAATTTTCCCTGTGCTATGTTCACTTCCGGCGTTACTTCGCAACCCCTCAAATTAATCACGTGTACGGGTTCTCCACCGTTATCCGCATCCTCTTGCGATTTGTAAAGTGTTAATTTTAAATCCCGACACGTGAACCAATATTTTTTAAATTGTTTAAGAGTGAATCTTTTCGGTCTGAAATCAAAAGAAAAATCATTTTCAATTCTTCCACGACCCCCACCACCACCAACATCACAAAAAAAAAAAAAAAAAAAAAAACAAATGACTCACTTTAAAAACCTCAGGTAATCGTAGAGTTTTGGTACTTGTGTGATATCGTTACATCCGTTACTTATATTCGTACCTTCTAGTGACACTTGCAAATCCGTTAAAGCGGCATCTATATCGTCGTCTGCAATGTTATTCCCGAGTTCCATTTTAGGTTGTGGAATACCGGCTTGAATATTAATTTGCACCTGTCGACACAAATGAAGTAATTTATCATTTACTGAGGGGGTATGAGGGGATGGGGGGGGAAAACAATTTTCTTTTTAAACCATAGACCGTTAAATTATAAATAATTAAAATTAATACATATATATGTATATCGAAATGGATGAATGATTGTTTGTTGTCGGTTGTTTGTTTAGGTACCTGAAGTGCTGCAAACATGAGAACTTCTTCTTCCGTACAATCAATTTCTTCGTTTAAAAGTTGCCATTTGGCTTGTTCGTACAATTGATTTATTCTTACTGAATCGCATTTCGGATTCAAATCGTAAAATGCATAAAATTTAAACCTTAAATTTAACGTGTCGAACTCTCTCACACCTTGTTCCATGATTGATAAAGATGAATCGAGCCATCTGGAAAACAAAAAGAAAATTATTTTAATCCTACACCCACGCACGCACGCACGCACGCACGCACGCACACCCACACAAAAGTACTCACGCCACGTTCATTCTCGCTCTTTCGACTAGTGACTTCGGCCGTAAAAGTCTAGATCTGGCTTCTTGATTTGGCGTCGTCGGACTGTTCGCTAGAGATGATTCTATGGAACCGTCGGTGGTGTCAGACAGCAGAGAAGGTAATATTAAGGTTCCGTTGAGGCTGTCGGAAAATGCGGGCGATTGATTTCGTTTCCACGTGCCAGAAGACTATAACGATAGTAAAAATTCGTGTTTGATTCTTTCGTTCGAGAGGGAAACCTTTTTTTTTTTCTAGAAAATTTTCTTTTACCCCTAACGGCGATCCGACGGATCCTTTCGTGGGAGTCATCGGCGCGCACATGTATGGTGAATTCTTATCCAAAGATCCATTTGACCCGTTGTGTGCTTCCGTCGCAATAAACGTATTCGTATCGCTTGGGATTTGACCGTTTTGTATATTTTCATGATTTTTCCTTTTGTTGTTTAAATCTTTTAAATTATGTTTCAAATGATTCGATTCTAATGGTTTGCAAAATGACAATTCTTCCGGATGCCTAATTCCTTGAATGATTTAATAAATAATAATAATGATGATAATGATGAAAACCTTGCGGAGGAGAGATTTATTTCATATATATTTTCTCCAACACCTACCTAATTCTTTGCACAAATTGATGACGGCATTGAATGTCTTAATGGAAAAATCTACTTTACAATCTAAATACCTTAAATCGGGCAATTGAACTCTAAGGCATTTGTGCATAGGCGTAAAATGAAGCAAAGCATCAGCTTGTACGCCATATTGATCGAGTGTCGATCTCGTTCTCGTTAACCAAAAATTTTTCTTCGGCCACCACAAAGCATGATCCGACCAATCCATGGCAATATCTAGAAAAAACAAAATGCAAATATAAACAAACGGGCGTAAGAGAGAAGAGAGGAGAGAGGAGAGAGAGAGAGAGAGAGAGAGAGAGAGAGAGAGACAGAAAAATTTTTTTTTTTTATTTTCGGGAAAATTAAAAACGGTTCAAGCAGCAGCTGACGTTAGAATAAAAAAAAAAAAAAATTAAAAAGTTATTATTATTATTATTATTATTATTATTATTATTATTATTATTTCGCATTTTTACACGAGATAGATGTTTGAATGTTCTTTCACGTGTTTGTATGTTTCGAACCCCTCCCCCTTCCCCTCCCACCTCCCCCCATCATATATATAACTTTTACTCCGATCGCCGCATATTGCTCAGGGAAAATAACAAATGAGTATAATTTCGGTTTAAGAGCAGATGCATGGAAATTTTTTTTTTTTTTTTATTTAATGATCGGTTTTATTTATAACGAAACGAGCAAAAACTTTAACCGCCGTCCCAACATTTAATTAAATTTAAATCTTTTAATATTTTTCCGCCATCTTTGTTTTTTTACAACAACTCTATAATAATGCCTTCGATTCGAAATTAAAGGTTTGTGTATAACCTTTCAACTTTTTTTCTTTTTTTTTTTAATTAAATGAAATTTTTTTTTTATTAATAACAATAACCAATAAATAATATTATAATCCGTTAATAAATAATAATAATAATAATAATTCTGAATTATTAAAGATAAATAAATAAGAATAAAAATCTTCAGGGTTCGAAGTTGACTTTTAGGCCTAAGTAAGAGAGAGATGGGAAGAGAGAGAGAGAGAGAGAGAAAATCCATTCGAACAATGACCTGACTCAACAATAAGAAGTGACTCAGCTTCCATTATACATAATAATAATAATAATAATAATAATAATAATAATAATGATAATAAT